CACTTCCCGCTGCCCCGCGCTCCCGGAGGCTCTGTGCTCCCAGCAGGCCCCGCGCGGAGGGCTCACACCTAGTTCCTAGTACACTCCATAGTCCACGTACGTTTCCTTCTCAGGGTACCTCCGCACCATGTTGTCAACCTCAGGAGCCGCTCCCGTGCCCTGCTGTCCTACATGCCCGCCGTGCACCTAACATGCCCTAAATGCCCAGTGTTCATGCACACTGAGCCCTATCATCAGCTCTTCTCAGTTTCATTGTTGCCTGAGGCCGATCAGGCAGCCCTTGCTATTGCGTGAGACAATAGTTGGATCTGACAAGGCTGGCTCCTGAGAGACGCAAGCTGGATTAGCGCAACAGGTCACCCCTGGCCCCTGGCCCCTGAGGGACTCTTGAGTGCTGTCTGGCAGGTCTTGCAACACGTGTCCCTGTGTTATAAAAGAGTCTTGGTTCTTGGATCCTCCCTGAATTATAAGTAGGCTCTCGTCAAAGGAGCACAGAGTAAGCAAATAGCAGGTTTAGCAAGCAAGTTTTGGCCTTTTTTTTTTTTCCTACTGGGAATCAAACTCACAACCTCGTGCTTGCTAGGCAGGTGCTGTGCCACTGAACTACATCCCCAGCAAGCAAGCAAGTTTTATTAGGAGACAATCGAGCACCTTGATGAAGGCGAAGGACCTAAGAGACTGCAGGCCCTCTCAGACAGAGAGCAGGCAGAGCCTGAAGGAGGCTGTGACTCAAGGACGGAGCTTGGCTTTTCCCGGCTTGGGAACCAGCCCAAAGGCTGTGGCTTCCCCTTACCCCTCCTCCCAACCGGCAGTGAGTCTTTCCCTGTCTTATAAGGTATGATCATGATCCCCTGCAAAGGGTATGGGAGCGAACCACACTTTAAATATATGCTAATGAGGCTTGTTTGGGTCAGCTTGGGGTTTGATTCCCCTATGTGCGCACTTGCACTTTTGACTCCAGACTTACATCACTGTCTATGTTGGGCCCCTCTGAGGAAGGCATGAGTCTAAGACCTCAGGATCCTTTGATCACATTCTGTTTGAGGTTTTCCTCCCTGGCCCAGCTGCCATTATCCCAGCTCTAGCTCATATCTAGCTAACTCCCTCCTCGTATTAATTCTCATGTCCACCCTGTGCGACCTGTGAAAGTCCTTTAATGGTGCTGAACCTCCACCACTAGAAGGTCTTTAAAAACTTATGGCAGGTACCTCTTATTCATTTGACAAATATTTACTAAGCTCCTACTATGTGCAGGTGCTTTTCTCGAGGGGTTGGTAATAGAGCATTAAGTAAACAATATTTTCTGCCCGGTGGTACCAAGATGAAATCATTCTTGTCTGGCCCACAGAAAATTAGAACTTGGAAGTAATGAAAGGAGTGGGCTTAGGTTTGTCAGTCTAAATACTTTCTCAAGGTCCAAAAGGGAGCATTCTTTGCAGGTATGAACCAATTTCTGTAACAAAATTTATCTTTTATTTTTAATTTTTTTTTGTGATGCTGAGGTTTGAATCCAGAGCCTTGTGCATGCTAGATGAGCAGTGCTACCACTGAGCTACATCTCCTGCTTGTAGTGCTTATCTTTAACATTGTTCATGACTACAGCATTCAGGCCAGATGTTCTCAACAGAATATATGCCCAGCAACAGCTCAATGAGCTGATGCCAGTCCTTCCCTCACTTCTCCAGGGCCAATGGACTTTATATCCAAGTGATGTATGGAAATTTCTTCCTTTTTGCTTAAAAATTCACCCTTTCTCACCTATGTGAATATATATATACTTTACTATGGTGTATGTATTCCTATTACAATGCTTTTTTCATTCTTAGTATTCTTCAGAGACTCTCTTTCGATTATTTGGGTTGGTAGGAGTTGAGAGAGAACAGATAATAAGATAAATGAGGAAAAACTTAGCATGATAGGATAAGATCCTTGGAGAACAATGAAATGGGAAGGAAACAGGAGTGTGGGGGAAAGGCCATTAGTTTAAAGAATGGTCAGGAAGGCTTCAGAGAAGTGACATTTGTGTTCAAGCTGGGCGAGGTGGAGCACGCCTGTAATCCTAGCACTCGGGAGGCTGAGGCAGGAGAACTGTTTTGAGTTGGAGACCAGCCTGGGCTATAAAGTGAGTTTCAGGCCAGTATGAACTGCATAGTGAGACCCTGCCTCAAAAAGACAAAAAAAAGACATGATGATGAGAGCTGGTGACCTTGTGTATGTCTAGGGGGAGAATGTTGCAAGAGAGAGAATAGGGGAATAAAGGCTTGAAGCTCATTATTTTGTCTGCAGCAGAGGAGGAAAGAAGCAGCAACGTGTAGGCAAAGGAAGAAGAGCAGTTCAGAGGCGGCAGCAGTAATCCAAGAGAGGTGATTTAGCTTGGATCACAGTAGTGACAGTGGATGAGATGGAATTGGATTCTGGAAATTAGATATTATGAGATTTAAAAATGGATTTAAATATGGATTGATGTGAGGTTTGAAAGAGGGGTCCAGTATAACTCCAAGGTTTTCAGATTACTTAAAATAGTAAATTTATTTCAGATTACTTAAAATAGTAAATTTATTTCAGATTACTTAAAATCTTGGGGTGGGTTGCCATCAACTAAAAAGGGCAAGACTATGAGAGGAGAGAGTTTGGATGTGATGATCAGAAGGAATTCATGTTGGTTTCTGATATATTGACATTAAGGAATGAGGAAGAAGAGCAGAACATTGCTGGTGTGGTGGCCCTCACCTGTAATCCCAGCACTCTGAAGACTGAGGAAGGAAGATTGTTGTGTGTTGTGAGTTTGAGATCAGCCTGGGCTCCAAAGTGAGCTCAAGGCCAGCCTAAATTACACAGCAAGACCCAAACTGCTTACACCAGTTTCAGTGCTCAAAACGAAATTGAACCAAACTGCAATGAAACAAAATGAAAAACAAAACAAAACAACAGGGCATTATATAGGAGAGGAATCCTGTGGGAAAGGTCTGTATTTAACAAAGAGCATTTATAACTTGAACAGTCTAAAAAAAGTACACATATAAAAAATAGAAATCTTCATACTTAATCTTGGGACACACCTCACACAAGCTCCCAGTGATAGGAAGGAACTACATGAATGGAGAGAATGTCAGGAAATTTTTACTGAGACATTTGCTACCTTTCAATTTCATATCTTCCAGGACTCAAGTTATAGTAAGAAAGAATGAGATAAACTTTTTTTCTTTGTAAACTGATTACCTGAAGTATTTGCTATAGTGATGCAAAAGCTAACACAGTGATCTTAGATAGGACGTTTTACATGCTTTGTACTTTAGTTTCATTACTTTAAAAACAGGTATTAAAATAGCACCTATTGGGGCTGGGGATTTAGCTCAGCGGCACAGCGCCTGCCTGGCAAGCACAACGTCATGAGTTCAATTCCCGGCACCACAAAAAACAAACAAACAAACAAACAAAAAATAGCACCTATTTCTTAAAAGTGTTAACATGTCCTTTCACATAAAAGAAATTATGTGCATTAAATACTTATATCAGTGCTTTATATAAGTTAAAGACCATTAGTGTCATTTACAGTTAATGCTAAATCCATTTTAACTCTGGAAGTTAAAATACTAGTCATATTTACTATGTGTCCTTGAGGTGATTTTTTTTTTTTTTTTTTGTCTTTTTGAGACAGGGTTTCACTATGCAGTTCAGGATGGTCTTGAACTCACTTTGTAGCCCAGGCTGGCCTCAAACTCACAAGAATCCTCCTAGGGCTGGGGATATAGCTCAGTGGTGTAAGTGCCTCCCTGGCAAGTACAAGGTCCTGAGCTCAATTCCTGGTATCACAACAATGCTCCTGCCTCAGCCTCCCAAGTGCTGGGATTACAGGTGTACACCACTATGCCTGGCTTGGGGTGATATTTTGCTTCTCTATGCTACTGTGTGATGACTATGCCACATGGGAGTAACGCAGAAATCAATAGATTAGAGCCTTCTTGTTAAGGTTAAATGAGATAATGCATATGAAGTGTTTGGAAATACTCTCATGAGATGATTAGGTCATTTACTTTTCTAGGTACATAGAATACCAGGAACTCATCCTAGATTATAGCTTGCTTGTGCATTTTAAACTATAGAGTCTGCCAAAAAAATGTATACACACTTCAGGAAAAGAAAAACTTGTATAAATGCTTTAATATTTATTGAGACATCATGAAAAATCTCATGTGCATGTGGACAAAGCAATCAATTTACTGGGAGTCACTGTCTGGTGTGTATTAAAATATTTAAACATATATTTTTTTCTCTTTTCCTGAAGGGTGTATACATTTTCGTTAGACTGTATTTTCATGCCTCTGCTGCATTTAGCTTTCTTTTCCACCTGTTTTCTAGAGTAAAATGTATAAATCCTATTTCTTAGTAGAAGTCCCGGGGAAAAAAAGTAAAACCATAGCTAGTAGTTTTACTAGTGATAAATAAATGAATTAATCTATATTTCTCAGTATATTATAGTATGATAATTATTTTCTTAGCATTTGAGGTCTATCTTCTGGGGCTGGGGATTTAGCTCAGCGGCAAAAGCGCCTGCCTGGCAAGCGCAAGGTCGTGAGTTCAGTTCCTGGTACCGGAGAAAAACCAAAAAAATAAAAATAAAAATGAAGTCTATCTTCTATAGCACATTTATAGTCTCATTTATTTAAAAAAAAAAAATGTGCATCTGCTATGTGCCAGGCACTGTGTTCCGTGCTGGAG